CCTTTGTCAACCCATTTTTGAAAAGTTAACTTTTGATGTACTTGATCGTGGGCACCATGTCTTCTTGATCGAATGTGACACATAGTTATCTTTGCAAATTGTCCTCATTTTCTTTCTGAGTCTTTTCTGTCCATAGCCGGACCCCTGCGTTTTTCATCTCTTGTATTACAACCCCTTTGTCCATTAATGCAAATTATTTATGGTTAATGAACACGTTTTTTTTTGTGGATCAACACCTCTTTTGAATGATGCAGACGATGGAAATAAAATAAAAGAGAGAAAAATTGAAAAGAGTTAGTAAGGTAAAGATAATAATAATGAAAATAAAAGGTCCTACCCCACATGCTTTAATTCCTACCCGGACATGATTTCTATCCCGCATGCTAATTCTACACAAATCCTAACCGCATATTTGTTTAGTTCGCATGCTTTGAACAGAAAGTAAAACATGAAACAAAGCAATCTAGGGTTTGGAATGGGGTTTTGGGGTGGGCTCTAATTCTCCATAGCCTCCCAGTTTAGGTTCTAAAAAACGGGACCCGAGTTCTCCTTGCCGGTGCCCCCTTGGGCTTACCAGACCCTTAGTCCTAAGCCCATTACAAGCTTATGTGGACTAAGTTAAACTCGAGAGGAAACATTTCCTTATGCCCAAACGGTGAATAAATTCACACGAAGACATAAGGTATATGAATCTCGAAGGCTACTTGCTAGGCCCGCACGGTGAATAAATTCACACGAATGCATCGCTTTCACCCCCACTTAAAAGGGTTCGAAGCTCGGGTATAGAGCTAGAGATGGAAACTTTTTAAAAAATCTGAAATCTTTGAAAAAACGTCAGTATAACTATTTACTTGAAAAAATAATCAAAGATAAATAATTGGAATCGAATAAATAAATTAAAATTTAAACTTGTAATTTTCACTAAAAAACAAACAAAAATTAATTTCGGCCTGACTCACTTACCTGTCCCCGGCGGAGTCGCCAAGCTGTCGTAACCGTTTTTCGGTTAGGCCCTTGAATTGGGCTTCGACTTGAAAAATATGAATTGGAGTCGCCACCGACCATTTTAAAACGAATTTAGGTGGGTCAGACACTATCTTACCTGATCTGCGTTTTTACCAGAAATGTGTCGGGTTCAGGAGTCGGCTACGGTCAAGGAAGGATTAACACCCTTAAACCGCCCTTTCGGTACCAATTAATTTGTTGGTTGTCTTAGTTGCGAAAATTCAAATTAAAATTTAACAGACATGATTCAAATTACTTACAATTGATTGATTTGAATACCCTTAAAAGATAAAACGTTAGATTCGTATTGGAGTATAAAATCGAATTAGGATAACAAGTGTGCAGACGTGAGAATAATAAATAAAACAAGAAAAAATGAAAAATAACAAAACACGTAAAAAATAATAATAATAAAATAATAAAAATAAACAAAATGAATAAAATGTTAAAAAACAAAGACAGATATAAAGGGAAAAAATTAATGGAGTAAAAAAATAAAAAAAAAGGTAAAAGAAATTAAAAAGGAATAAAAATAATGTGTATATATAAAGTAGTATTTACTAAAACAAATAATAAATATATAATACTAAGTAAAACAAATAAAAAATGAAGATATACATGATATTATGGAAAAAAATAATAGAAAAAATAAAATAAAGTAAAAATATAATATATATAAATAAATAAAAACAAAAATAGAATATTAAAAAAATATATAAAAACGTATAAAATATAATATTAAGAAAAAATATATACATAGTAAATGGAGAAAAATTAATACATCTATACATATATATATATATAATGATATAAGATATATATAATATAAATAATATAATATAAATAAAAAAAGAGGAATATAGTAAATAATTAAAAATATATAATTAAAAATATATATATATGGGACGAAATTGATATAAAAGTAAAATTAAAGGGTAAATTTCAAGGTAAATTAAAGATTAAGATTGACTTAAGGGGAATATTAAATACTTTCAAAAAAATGAACATTCCTCGAGAGTAGATCTAGGTTCGAAACTTCGAAACCCCACCCCTTTTTGGTCATCGGCGCAACCCACACTTTGGCTTATTCAAACCAAATCTCAAAAAAAAAAATAACACGTACATGCGAGAAATGAACGAATCAATGTAAAAAAAAGATGCTACCTTTTATTTCCTTTTCGAATCGTTTACAATAGCTTTGCCTTTGTATTTTTTTCATGCTTTCATCTGTATCTTGTATGTAAATCCGTCTATTACAAATAGGGAGGATTACATGTATTTATAGTGAAAAAAACTAACTATTTTTAGAATCCTATTAACAATAGAATCCTAATGCAACTAGGCTCCTTGCTCGGTTATTGCACGTTTGTTGGTGTGGTTGTTGCTTTAAAAGATATGGTGGTGGAAGAGTCCTCTTAGGAGATGAACTCTTGCTAGTTCTATCTTTTAAGAAAATAGGTGTCTACAACTGGTTCTTAAGTTCCTTAGACTAAATACATTTTAAATTCCAAAGTTTGTCTTATATTCAATTTAGTCTCTATCTTCATTAATATTTAAAAAGTATAAAAATAAAAGAAAATTAGAATAGAGTAAGCGAGCTTATAAATGAGTCGATAAACAAGCTTATAAACGAGTTGATCAATGAGTTTATAAATGAACTTGTTCGTGAATATAAACAAACCGAACACACTTTTATCTGTGTAATTAGTTCGTTTATTAAATAAACATAAAAATTATGTCATACTCATTTATTTAGACATAGCCTAATGTTATATGAATAGCTCGCACATAATTTATCAATCGCTCTGTTAATTTACACTCATGAATTCATGATAAAATTTTAAATATATGAATTAAAGAAACAAACTTGGCAAATATGTAGTTTTAAGCATATTTGTCAATATAACATATAGAAAATATGGGATGAAGTATGTTTAAGTATTCAATGTAAGTTGTAAATAATGTTTCAATATGTATAATATTATTAAATTTAACATTTTAAAATTTAAATTTAACTGTTAATTTATTAAAATATGATGAAAAGTCATATAATTTTTAAAAAAACTTAATTTTACGAATGTGAATATAAAGTTACGAAAAGAAAGTGAAAGAAGTATACAAAGGTTTGATGGTGATTAAATTGAATAATTGTGATGTAACGAAATTTGTTTGATCAAAATTATATCACGTGTTTGAATAGAAAAAAAATCCCACCTACTGAGAAAATAAACACTCTCAACAACTAAAAAAAAGGGGAAATCATGGACTAAGCCCATTTAGCCATGAGATACATAAATCCAGCACCTAGTAAAACTGCAACATACGACCAAGCTTGGAGCTTCATGTTGGTTTGAAGGTTAGGGCCAAGAAAATCAGCCGCTAGCAGATCTACCAGAGCCATGTAATTCAATAACCCTGCCGAGCAAGCATTAAGTAGTCCCACCACAATCAGAGCAGTGGGGCTCGTCGCACTGTAAACCCTGGACAATCCTATTCCTAGCGCGATTCCAAGTGGAGTTGTCGATGAAAAGAAAACCACCATTATTGCTTTCATTTTCAACTTATACTCGGCATGAAAGATCATTCAACACAATAATGTTCATCTAAGGCATACAGGGAGCACAGGATTATGAAAATTAATGGTGTTTCGAAATAGAATATCCTGTAATATGCATCCCCCAAGTCCCATTCCCTCAAAAATTTGATGGAAGCAAAGAGCAGTGATGAGTGAATCGAATGGTGCACGGATTGTCGGAGGCTCCCATTGCAAGCCCAATCATCACCGAATGAACTATAATCCCCAGCTCTAATACCTGAGCAACAACTCGATGCCTTAACAATTGTTGCGATGCGTTATTCGTTTCTACATGCCCATGATGCTTTTTGTACAAGCTCATGGCAATCAAATCGACCATAAGGGTCGAAACAACCGACAGCATTGCCAAGAATGTCGTGAAAAGGAACTTCCTCCATGAGTTTCCGGATAAACAATCTGACATCAAGTCGGTGAAAGAGTCCGGTAACACGTGCATATACCCGGTCGTTAGTATGACGCTCGAAGAGAACGCTTAACGACGACGAACAAGTCCGTGTCGGGTTTAAGCGATAGGATGTGACGGGAACACAATGGCAAGCTCACACCGATCGTGCTGGAGAGTAAGATTGTGACAAAGGTGATGATTTTTAGCTTCATGGATTCTTCCTTGTCGCGGCATCCACTCCTGGACTGTGGCTCACATTGCGCCAACGCAAGTGGGGCAGAAGATAAACAAAATATGATGATGAAAAGAAAAACAAACGTACAGTTTTTAAGGGACTTTGGGAGTGAAGCCATCTCTGCAAAGATCTACAACATTTTGATCTTAGATGAAATAAAAATATTATTTTATGTGATGAAATTTCCAAAATGCCCTCACGTTTTAAGATTGTACTTGTTGATTGTATGGTTAATTTATTGAATTTCTTCGGGTATTGGTAGCATGGTACGGAATATAGAAGAGTAGTGCATGTCGTGTGATTTGTGTGACCCTGTCAAACTTTCATCACTTTTGGTTTATCCACTACTAGTGTACTTCAAGTCAGATACCATCCTTTTGCTGATATGGCAAATATTTTTGACTAATTTCCACGTCAATTATTGTCTTTTAAAATAAGTTAAATTAGAGAAATAATACGGTTGAGGAACAAAAATGAGATAAATGGGGTTTAATTAAATATGGATTTGAAAAATAAGACTTAAAGTTGATTAATTAAAAAAATTAACTGACTCGTATTCACTCCTAATGAAATGGGAAGCCAATTTAACGATGCATTAAGATTCAAAATCTGTAATTATGAACTTATTAAATATCAATTGCACAAATTATTTGTTACCAGTGTCGATGGGAAGCAAAATTATCATTTTGGGTTTCAACAGATTCGATATATACATCAACAGGGATTCGTATTCCCGACCTACAAAAATTGCCCTGCCAAAGTAATCCCTAATGAGAGGAAATAAAAATATTGAATTAATTAGGCGATTGAATCACACTTCCAATTCCACTGTATCTACTTGTTCTATCAGGGGACGCGATTCCTTCCGCGGCCTTCCTCTTGTTACGAATTGGCTTACATCTTGATTTCATCAGATGAGGCCTGAGCTTGTTCACATCCGATAATTGAACAGGCTTCAGAAAAAACTCTTCGGCTCCATCTTCCAGGCATCTATTGATTCTAGACGGAATATTGTCTGAGGACATGATCACAACCGGTATGTCTTTCAAAGACGAACAGCCCTTGACTTTTCTCAACAGATCGTGGCCGCTCATTCCCGGCATACAATAATCGGTGATGATCAAATTGACTTCCACGTCGGAATTTGAATCTCTCTCCTTGTTATTCAATCCAAGAAACTCCAATGCCTTGGTTCCAGAATCCACTGCGGTAACTGTAAACATAATAAAGGAGAGTCAATCCATGTTCTAGAAGAAAAACAACAACACCCTGTTTGGATGAAGAGAAAAAGATGTTTGCCTTGATAAGAAGAAGTCCTGAGAAGCTTCTCGATGAGTTTTCTATCGATGAGGGTATCATCAACGGCGAGAACATGGAACTTAGCCTCCGCAGCCATGGTCGATTTCAACGAAGCAGGGAACAAGAAGAAGATTGGAGAGAAAATGATGGGAGGTGAGCTTTAAAAGGGGAGAAAAAAAAGATGCAAATCCCGTGGAAATCAGACAGTTTGGAGAAAAGCAAGATCCGGCAGATTTCATATCATATAAAATCTTCCAGATTTTCTATCTTGATTTTCTTATTGGAATACATGAAAAGATGGTCCTGTGTTCCCATTTTCTTTTTAAATGTTTGTAGAATTTTTAGTCTAATTCTAAATTCCAAGTACTCTATTTTAATTTTAATTGTAGGATAATAAAAAGATATGCCGTACATGACTTTCCTTCACAGATCACGATCATATATGATTCGTAGCTCGTGGAAGCTACATGTGATGATTCCAACATTAAGATATCAAATATATTTTTTAAAGATACGAAAATTCAAACATAAGATATCAAATAATATTTTAAAGATAAGTTTAAGGGTTAATTTTATTCTTGTAGTAAAATTCATTTATTATTTAACATTATAGTAAAGTTATTTAGTAATACCACTTTATACCTTACACTCTAATTTAAAATTTTAAATCTTAATCTCTAACCCATAAATTTTAAACCCTAAACCCTAACTAAAAATCTTAAACAATAGTAAATATGTTAAACATTGATCCAATTGAGTAACTTCGAGGGCTAAATTAATGTGAAAATATCATATTATCAAAAATGATAAATTGAGTTTACTACAACGATAAAATTGATCCTTAAGCCTTAAAGATATAAGATATATTAACAACGTCACATCGATTGTAAAAAGAAATTGATTTCAAGAGTAATTAAGGTGTAAAATTATAATAATGATTTCAAGAGATATTAACCTAAAGTGTCAAATTTTGTAATTTAAATAATTTAAAGATCTAAACCTAGAAATGGAGATTCTACTATTAATCATATTTGATTTTAACCAGTTATTAGATTGAATAATCGAGATGATCTATTGAGCATATAGGCGAGGGCCAACTCAGATTACTCCTTAAATTAGAGAACTAAAGTGAAATTAAACTAATTTGAATGCTCTAATTAAAAACCTAATTAATTTTGTTAAAAGAAAACCTAACTAAAAGTCTAAGGGCTAAATGGTGAAAAAAACTAAAGTCAAGGGACTATATCTAACTAAGGCTCTAGTTAAAAACCTAATTAATTTTGTTAAAAGAAAACATGATTAAAAGGCTATCCTCGATCAACATAAGAAGTTGAAAAGAGATGAGGAGGATAAGGAGAAGAAGAAGAACAAGAAGAACAAGAACAAGAACAAGAACAAGAACAAGAACAAGAAAATAAGAATAAGAAAATAAGAAGAAGAAAATAAGAAGAATAATAATAATGAAGAGTTAGCAAGGTAACGAAACAAACGACTCATTGAAAGAAATGACAATAAGAAAAATAATTTAAAAATTGAAAGGAAAATATGTTTATTTTGTTGAAAAATGTTTTAAATAAATGTATGAATTTGATTTTAGTTAAGCGTTATAGTTTGAAATTATATATGAAATGTAAAAAACTGAAAAATTATCATTGATATTTGTAACATCGGTACAACATGGGAATAAGATTAAAAAGGATTTATCGGTATGCTTGATATATTGGGAGATGTGGACATTGCTTCCTATTGTGGCCTTCACCTCTATAGTGGCCACATAGTTTCGGCAGACCTTGCTCTCTTTGAGGGTCATCCATATCAATATAAATTTGACTAGATTCAAGACAACCCCTCAATTGCTTTTGTAATTGTGGATTGGGTAACCGTTCTTCAGAGATAGTAGGCAGCCAATATGCATCGTTTGGGAGGTACTTGAACTCACAACTGTATATGTTGCTCATAGTATGCAAGACTCCGAAAACTCTCTTCCCAGGGATAACTTGTCCATCAAATGTGGTTGCAGGATAAGTGTAGGAGCGAACAATGGTTCATGGGATGAACTATTCCATTACGTGCAACATATGTGGCAACTCATTGTACGATTGATCCTAATCACTATATAGTAGTGTCATAGCTTTTCTTTTGGCCATCCAGGACTTGTAAGAATACAAAATATAACCAAATGTATTTCGTATTGATGCCATGATTATTGATACTAGAATCCTCAGATTTTTCTTGACCAATAGCTTCACATAAGAACATATGACATCAGAGTCTGTGTGCTAGTGATCTTGTGACAAGGAGTTGAACGTGCAACTATGTTAGTTGTGGAACCTTGTGACTTCCCATAACATCTTTCGCTATAGGTATGAGACCCTTATCTTCAACTTACATCCGACATTATTGTTAATACATTTGACAAAATATGTCTTCTGGTCAGACTCTACAACAGTGAATTCTATATGAGCTTTTATACAGAACTCCTTCACATCTAGTTGCATATCCTTCTTACTCCTAAACTGTGACCCAACTCCAAACTCCGTTGATACGTCATCCGAGGTCCCCAATATACTGCACATATATCGGGCATATCAGGAATCTCAGGATTCCTCATGACATCGTAGTTTATCTCATGCATTATAACTGTATGATGATATTGAGGCATTTGGGGTTGTGAACTTTCTGCTTGCATGGTTGTTGGTGGATGTGCCCAAATTGACAGAGTATTCTGCATTGCTTGGCCATGAGAAACGGTTGCCTCCAAGACATCACCTTCTATATCAAAGGCTTGTCCATCTAAAGTGGCCTCGATGATATTAGATTCGTCGATTATTGATGTGTTATCATCCATCGTAAGCGGAACTAAAGTTTTATCATCATCACTAAAATCAACAAAGATTTCACTGAATCACCCAACAAGGTTATCTACATCTAATAGTCTTGTTTTTGTGGTCACTGGTGCAACAGTTGAGGAAGTATGTGTAACATCCCAAAATACGGGTTAGTGACTAAATCATAAAACTTCAGAGTTTGGTGATTTAAGTAGGATATTTTTATAGTCCGATGATTTGTTCGAAAATATTTCCTAAAAGTTTTTAGTAATTATCCAAAGAATTAAAGGGCAAAATGGTCATTTAACCATTAAATGATTAATTTGTGTTATGTTGAGGATATATACGGGGGAAATGGATAAGAAGAATATATCTTCTTCTCCTCTTTGTTCTTCCATACGAGAGAAAGCCATAGCAAAGGTAAGGGTTTTCTGATTTGTTGGTTATTTGTTAAATTAAAGGTTAGGTTTTGATCATTAGATGATAACTAAGCTTAAGGAAAGCTTAAGTTGTCGTATAATCAAAAGATGAAGAAGTTATAAGAGATTTAAGAAAATGAGTTTTTATATGAAATCTTGAAATAGAGTTGATAAGTTGAATTTGAAGTTAAATTTGACTTGTCATCATGCTAATTAAGGAATATGAAGTGTTAGAATTGTATTTAGAACATATTGAAATTTGAGTATGATTCTTGAATTTCATATGAAGAATAGGATTTTGAAGTTATAGATGATTTTCATGGATATAAGTTGGTTTAAGTAATGGTAGTTGAGTTTAATGACATGATAGGGGTTTAAAATAGAAGAATTAAGTGAAAATTGATGATTTTCGGGCTTAAAATACAATTTCTGGACATAGGGAACCGATACCCTATGAAGGGGAATCGATTCCCCTTCAAGAACGAGAAAATTTCCAGTATGTCCAGGGGGTATCGATTCCCCCCTGGGGGGTATCGATTCCCCCTAAAGGAAAAATGAAATTGGGTTCAATAATATGGCTTAAGTTGTTAACATCAAGTTTAAGGTTTAGGCTTCTGATAGTTGTTTTGAAATGTTATATTTATGTAGATATTGAGCCTAAACAAGTTCTGAAATAATCAAAGGATTATAATCGAATCAAAGCAAGGCTAAGGTGAGTGCAATTTTAATTGTACTTATATTATTGAACGAACATTGGCTTGCGATGAGCCAATGATGGAGTTACTATGGTAAGAAGTGACTCCTAAAATGTTATTTGATATGTGATTCTTATATGTACATGAATACATGATATGCATAAACATAAGAGCATGAAACATAAGATATATGATATGATATACATGATTATATGCATATGTGATATATGCTATGAGATATGACCAATGTGAAATGAAATAAGCTATGTGAATATATGAAATGACATATGAATATGCAATATGTGATATGATATGAAATATATGGTTACACATACATGTGGTATGTGACAGAAGAGAAAGAACAAGTGATGAGAAATATATTCATAATAAATGCCCATAGTATATGATACGAGAGCTATAGGTATAGTTGGCATGCCAAGAGTCGAGGGTATTGTAGTCATTCGGGACGTAGTCCTTCGGGACGTAGTGGTCCTACGGGACATATATAACAGTCTTTCGGGACGAATACTGAACAAATGTTCGGTTCCCCATGAGGGAATTTATACGAGCTGTGGTGACAGCATTGGTGCACAACCTCAATGTACTCACATACCTCTATTCTCAATAATATACATGGGCAACAACAACAACAACAACAACGACAACGACAATTAAAATATAAATTAAAGTGAAAGTGATGCATAAAGGTAAGTTTCATGTGTGCATGACTTGGTTATATATGTCATAGGAAATATATCCATGCATATTGAAATATCATGATCAAATGGTAATAATGCATATTCATGAAACTATTGTTACATGTTTATTTATTGCCTCACTAAGTCTATGACTTAGCGTGTAAGTGATTTACACGTAGGTACCAAGAAACGTGAAGAGCAAGAATAGAAGTGGCAAGGATATTATTTTTACTAGAAGATCAGATCAGAAGTAATCGACAAAGTATGTATTTTGTTGTGTATAGAGTGTTGGCATGTAATAAGTCGTTAATTATGAGCACTCTGATCGAGTTTGTATTTTGTAGTCTCTTCTATGTAAATTAAAGTATTTTGTTTTAAATAAAGTTTTAAATTTCTAACGGAATGTTCTTTAAGTGTCAAGGTTTTAAAAGTCAATGTGACACATTGGACTCGTATTCGGGTTGGGGTGTTA